AGAAGACGATGCAGTCATTCGCAAACAACACTTGCGTTTGCCGCTCTCCATCAATATCAACGCTTTTGCATCAGTTTAGCCTGTTGCACAGTGGCTCCGACGCTACGGTGCAAAGCGCTGATGAGACGGTATTTCCATGGCGCATTGATACTCATGCGACATGGTTGGTTGAATGGCGAGATGCCAGTTGTGTGCAACCAGTCAGATTCATCTTTAAGATCAGCCTGAGGCAGACAGATTTATGTCCTGTTCATCAAGGAGTTTCAAACAGCAGTCAATTCTTGTACTCAACGAAGGCAAAACCGAGGAACACTTAATTTTGGTTGCATTTCTCGATGAGCCGCTGAACCACATGCATATGGTCGGTGGTTGCAAATTCCGTGTTCCAACATACGATTAGTTCCATACAATCCTTCAGAATACGGATGAGAATTCTGAGGGTAAAAAGTTTCCGGAAATTCGACTGGACTGCAATTGGTCAAAAGTTCTTGAGGTGTTTTGAGTCACATTTTTTTCATGAGAAGAATTGCCATCGATGCCTTCCACGGTTTATGTTTTGCTCTGCTTGTTGCATTCCGCAATGTGTTTGACAATCGTCTCCAATATTGTTCCTCCTGTTTTAAGGTGTTCTGGTCTTGTATCGTGTTTGTCTGCACATCTGCCATTTTTGATCTTCCTAACTGCCCACAAAACTTTATTCCAGGTGACTTTGGGAACAGCTTCTGGAGCAACTTCTGATTTAAGCATACTGTGGAAGAGTACAGGTTGTTCTATGGCCTTTTGCAGGTTGCGTTCGTCTGACTGCGATTAAACGTTCTTACTCCTTCGACCTTCAGCACACCCGAAATCCGCTATTTTAGGCGAATATCCCGTTTGAGATGTATCACGCCTTATTTCCTCTCCGTGACCTCTGTCACTTCAATTGTACTGTAACCGTCGCAGTCTTCGCCAAACTTTTTCCATGCTTATTTGCAAAGCGTAGCCTTTGCATTAATCCTCTTACCCTCGGCCTTCAGCTGGGTTCTTCTAGCAATTAAAACCAATCAATGGTTTCTCATTAAATTAGCTGCCCGGCTTGATATTCTAGGATTTCCTGATGGAATCAACAAAATGGTGAGAACTCACATTTACGCCCTCGCTGGTGTTCACTTGACGGCCCGTCAAAAATGACAGCTTGTCTGCAAAAGCTTACATGTCGAATCTTAGTTCTTCACAAACCGATATTTTTTTCAGTTCTTTTGATCCGTTCTTCATTTGCGACGTCAGTCGTAACTGTGGCACGTAAGGGCCTGTGATCTTTCGTATACAAATGATTTTTTCTCCTATGACCAGCACATCCGATACTATTCGTTTCTTATTCGTCAGAGATTGACCATGTGGGCTTCTCCGTGCCCACCGTCGTTTTGGAGTTTCCGGAAAGACAGTAAAACAAAGTTCATTACATGGAGAAGGTTGCTTTTGGGGAAAGTTGCTAAGCAATCTCAACATTCATTTCACTCGCCCTTAACGACGACCTCGAGGAAGTTTTTTTCCTCCATTAACCCTTCTAGTCATCGTAAAATCACTCGAACTCTTTGTCTTCAGCTTGTTGGGTTGGATTGTAAGCTTTGATTAATTTTTTTGTTTTTCATTTGGCCATCTGTGGAAGTAAAATTGCTATGCTGAGTGATAGTGTAATAGCTCGGTGCAAATGGTACAGCCTTCCTGTTTATCATAAACCCAAAGCCGCTGGTATGAGTTTGGTTCTCGAAGGCTTGTCGAGGAATAGCCGGTAATCACTGTTCCATTGCTGAACAGGTTCGGTACAGGCTTCTTGTCCTGTATGTTCCAAAGTCGTCCGTCTTGATCTTGACAATTTCCAAGGAAATTGGTAAACGCGCCTGTCGATAGCGTTCTTGCACGACTGATGACCTGTCCACGAAAATCTTGATGATTGATGACCTTCCGGGTCCGTTTCCCAATTGCGTGAATTACTATCGTTTACCGAATGGTAGGTGCTGCTTATGCACACGCGGTAGCCTGTAGCCAT